GATGTGTGTGACCAGGATGTTGAAACAGTCTTTTCCCTTATGCTTTTATTTATTTATTATCAGAGCCTTGTTTTAGCCACCACCTCTAGATCCCATTTCTTCCTTTTCTGTTTGCTTGGAGCAGTTTTTCTCAAGTCGACGACACTTAAAAGTACATTCAGTCTACTTTTTTTTTTTTTTTTTTTTTTTTTTTTTACATCACCCCTAAAGCTGCCAAAAGACCTAAAAGGCTAGTTCAATTTATAGCTTTTTGGACTGTTTTCATGTACGCTTGCTGAAGCGGGAGCAGAGTGGAGTGCGGTTTTGTTTTTCTGTTTGGGTGTAGGCTATAAGTGGAGCTAACAGTTTGACACCACCGTGTTTCATTAAGGTCTCTATGGGACAGCTCCACACCTCGGCGCCGCTCTCGTCTTTCAGCCTGAGGAAGGCCAATGCTCCGTCGCATTGACAACAGAGACATCTTTTTAACTAGCTGCTCTCTTCCAAGGTACTCAGGACAACTTGTTGTCGGTCTGCCACATACTTGAAAATGTATTTATGACTCTACATTACATGATAAAATGCTCTTTAAAAGATATGCGAGCCACCATGAAAAATGAGTTGTTGCTGACATAATTTGGGAGAGATATTCGTACGGCACACTACTCTTGTTTATCTCTCCTGAAGCTCATGAAGTCGTACGTCTCTGTTATTGGACTCTTGCAAGGAAAGTAATCGCAGTCGTTTGGGTTGTAGTTTGAAAACTTACAAGCAAAAAAGAAAAAAAAAAAAAACGGATACTCCTGCCGTCACCTGAAAAATAGAGATGGTATGTTACAAAGTCTGGCCATGGAGAGAAAATAAAAAGAAGTATTGCAGCACATATAAAAACTAAAAGTAAGACTGGAAAGCAGTGGTGGTGGGTGGGACTTTGTCTCCATAGTACCAATATAAAGACTAAACATCATATGCTGTGACTGTTGAAAGCAACACAAACATTACATAAGTACGTCTTTTGTATAAGAATTGACTAGTTGTTGTTTTTATGGCTAATATACAGTGAAATGATAGATTTCAAGTTAAATATATGTAAATATCTACCTTTAAATCTACCTGTGAACTTTTTCAACTTTGTCCAGATTGCAGTCTTCTTGATGTTCATTTCTTTATAGGCAGCCATTTATATGTGCTGTCTGGTTAGCTTGGACTATTACGCTCATTAAGACAAATGAGACAGATACACAAGCACTGGAGGGCACTTAGAGTCCATAAGGGGCTCTTTAGGCTTTTATGTCTTCTGAAAATGGATTCAGGACAATCTATTTATTAAAAAAAAACAAAAAACAACAACAAATGTGCATAAATACGACAAAAATACAAGAAAGGAAAACTGTGCATCGTAAAGGTAACAAATGTATTGTGCGTCTGTCGTTAAATTAATTTTGAATCTTTGATCATGCAAAGGGCTATTAATCTCTTTTTCATTTTACTGGGATAAGGAAGTACTTAGTGCCCCAACCTGTTTGTCCTCATCAGAATAGGTGATAAAAATGAAGAAAAAAATAATAATAATAAAATAAAAAACAATGACATAAAAAACATGGCCCTGAAGGAAGGTAACGGCAGTAATCATATGGGTTGTTTACTCCTAGTTTCTGCGGAGTGACATTTGCTCTGCCCCAGCAGCAGGACATCTAACAGAGATAATTTAATTTCCCTTAGAGGAGATTGGATTTAAATGTCCTGACCCGATGAGGCTGCAACTGCGTTCATCGTGGCTTCTGTTTTCTGCTAAATGAGTGCAAATGAGATTGCAATGTTTTCCATTCAGGTGAGATATGATTCATGCAGTGTTTGCTGATTAACTTTGCAAAACCCTTTCGTGTATGATAAAAAGAAAAAAACAAAACAAACAAAAAAAAAAACATAAATACCTTGTTCTTTCCTTGCTGTGCCACTCACGTCTTGCAAATGCGAGCCTGTGGCAACATTTAGTCAGATCTCATTTGAGGAAATGAGAGATTGTGGGCTCAGCCAAAGTGTCGAAATGTGTTCATCTTAATGTCTTTCTTCTTGGGATAACTTAGGGAGGGAATGAAGTGCTTAAGGCATTTGTGAACAAATGGATGTGGACAGCTCAGGACAGGCTGTCTGGTCAAACTAACCATATTGGATCTTTTAAAAGAGGGGAGTATAAATGGGACATTTAAGCTACCTATTGCAAGAGCTCGACTTGGAAATGGAATGGGATTGCTATGGAATCGCATACATTCACGTACAAGAGGAGAAAAAATGTAGGTATGTGCACATCTTTTAGCTTTTGTCACCGGCTTTATGAAGGTGTTCAAAGCATGTTTTAAACACCTGCAGTCAATAAGCTGTGACTGGCTTGAGGAGGACATTTTGGGGATGTTCATGTTTTGTCCGAATTTAATAGAAAAGTTTATCCAAAGAAATAAATGCTGTCGTTTTTGTGGTTATTTGAACTTATTAGCAAGTGAATTAATATTTCTGAGGACCAATGTAGTGCTATTGATATTTGTTTGTGCATATGTAGAAATGGCTTTGTTTGAACAATTGATGCTCTAAAGCAAAAATATCAGCATGAATTGTTATTTAACACGTTTTCAAGGTAATTATAATTTAGGACGTGTGGGGAGTTTTTGCAAAGTCTAACGGTCCGTACAAGAGGCTTCCTCAGGCAACTTTTAAAAAGCGGACAAATCATTCGCTAAACTTAACTCTAATACATGCTGCCACCACCATCTTACCCTGTGAGGTGACGATATGTTCAGTTTTGATCAAATCTGATGAAGCAGCGCACTCCTTTTAACAATTGCCTTTGTCTTGTCAGATTTGTGAATGTCCGACCAATAGTTGTCCCGCAAACATGTTCTCTGTGAGCCGTGGATCTCTACAGCTCCTCCAAAGGCAGCATAAGATTTTAAGACTTGTGGCTTATTTTCTGATTAATGCTTTTGCTGTCGGTTTAAGTTGACGTCTACATCTTGGTCGGTTTGCATTTGTGCCACGCTGCTCTCAGTTACAGATGATTGCTTAAATGATGCTTGAGATGTTCAAAACTGGGTATGTTGTCACATTATCCCGAAATTATAGTGAATCTTATTTAAAGGAAACAGAATAAAAGAGGATGAAAGCAAATGCATAAAAAACAACTTTGCAAACCTTTCATTTGTTGGAAAAACAACAAAAATAGTGGGAAAAAAAATCTGTCTACTTTGCATCTATGGGTTGCATTGTGTGGGTCTGTCACATAACCCGTCAAGCGAAGCGCCTCATGAATGAAAATAACTTAATTTAATCCTTGTCTTATCTATAAAGACAAAAAAAAAAAAACACTTAGGAAACCTAATAATTCAGTGCAATTACTGTTTTTCTCCTTTCTAAGAACATTTCATGGCCAGTTTCTCTATGCATTTATTGTTGAGTCTCACATCACAGCAACAGCTCCAGACTAGAGAACTATCTCACATGACCGGGAAAAACCCGCCGGCTCGTCCGGGCCTGATCCGTCACGGTGTCGGCGCTAATTTGAATGCTGCCGAGAGACCATTGTTGAGCTGACAGTGTCCGCTGCTGGCTGAAGCGCTTACTGCATCCCTCGCAGAGCGGAACAGGAAGGTATCATAAACTTCTGCAGCGTTCACTGTCTGTCCAGAAAATAAAAACAATGAATAAATCAGTAGAGCCGAAATGCAACCTCTGTCTGATGAGATTTAAACAACGAGTGACTGTACTTTAATCTCTATAACGCCACGTGTTTATAAATGAATTAATAAACGTCGTTTATTCTTAAAAGCGGCATTGCGGTCTGCAGCTGAAACCCGCAGATAAAACTGCTCTCTGTCCCTCGTTTGTGTGCGTGATTGGACCTTTGGTGCGTTTTTCTTTATTATTTCTTCGATCCTCGGTACAGCTGGCCATCAACAGGTGAGCGTGACGTGCCGAGAATAAACGCACACATTTGCGGGACGCAGCGACGGTCCCCCTGGAGCCCGCATGTTTAATTACAGCCACAAACAGCAGATGGCTCTCTTGAGTTTTAATTTCTTTTTGCCTGAGAGTGAGGCTTAAATTTTATTCCCTTTAAACGTTTTTTTTTTTTTTTTTTTTTTTTTACTGTTTTCTTTTCCCCTCTCATGTATTTTCTCTTGTTATTATAATTTCTATAGGCCTATAATTGCGAATCAGAATGCACGCTGAGGTACGGGAAGGTTGCGTAATGCTTTGCAGCTTTCTGCAGGCTGCAGCCGACCCTGTTTTGTTTTGTTTTGTTTTTTTGTTGTTGCTTTTTTCAAAGTGAAGGTTGTCTGGAGAAAACGTCTCCCCTCCATCTCAGCGCGGACCTGAAGCGACCGGCGCTGTCCGTGGTGCTGAAGCCACGCACGATCAGCGGAGCCCACACACTCTGGACCACATCCTGTAGTTCTGCTTTGGTAAAAACAAAAATAAAGTTGTGTCACTCTACATTTGTTCATAGTAAATCATAAAAAATACCAAGAAAAACAAAAAGTTAAATAAAATAAAATGAATCAAGGCGAATACATTAGTGGAACAATGTGAGCTCTGATGTTGCAGCAAGGAGGAGAGACAATATACATGTCCCCTCCTCTCAGTTTGTCAAATCGGCTCCCTCAGGCAGGGGCTTGGAGGTCGAGAAGAGGAGGGGATGTCGGGGCGGGGGCATCCGTCACCCTCAGCGGTGTCGCCGGTGGTTAGGACTTGTTGATGAGGGGGATTTATTTATTTATTTTTTGTTGATCTGGGGCGTACAGGCTAATACCACTGATTATCACTTCCTATCCTCTTTTTTTTCTTCTTCTTCTCCCATTGAGCGTGGGAAAATAAATCGCGTTGTTTAGTCAGTGGCATCCCACTGACTCAACAACCCTCCACCCCACACCCCGATTTCCCATCATGCGCCGATCGACGCACACTCATCTCTCTCTCCTTATATGTCACGGGTCACATAACGCGCCGAACGTCAGGGAGTTCACATTTCTATATCTACATACTACGCAGACGTCATCTGGCACGGTGCTCGGATCAACTCTCTCCCCTCCTGTTCGGTCGAACTGACTGTTGTTGTGTTGCCGGTTTTGAGATGTGCGGCGCATTTCACGCAACATTAACCGGGAGGATTGTCAAATAATTGCGAGGCTCCTTTACTGTTGCGCATTCCTCTCTCCGTGTGCGTGTGTGTGATTTTAACGTGCACGTCTCTTCTTCGGGGGAGTGGAGGGTTGGAAGCTGTCGCGGATACCTTCTTGCAAACTTCGCGTCTCGCCTCGTCTCCCCAGCTCTCAGCCGGGTGCTGATCTTCGTAGGAGGCGCCTGGGTTTTGTTGAGTTGCCCGGCGGCGGCGCACATGCACGGGCGTCCCCGCCGCTGCTGGCCGTGCAATGCCGCTTTTCACATGGCAGAAGAACAAGGAGGATAAAGCAGAAGCTTAAAAAAAAGGGGGAGAAAAGAGTAGGGGATTTTTTTTCTCTCTCTCTTCTTCCAGCCACAGCGTTAAACATTAAGGACAATTGACTGATTGAGACCAGACGCAGGCTACAGGTATGAATATTCTCCGGAGGTCTCCGTGCGCATGAGTTGGGCTTCTTATCAAGAGCATTGTCACTGATGAGCGGGATTACTTATGGAGATGTGCATTTTTATTTATTTATTTCCCCCTCCACCCTCTCATCGTGCTCCAGAATATTTCGAATGACAATGGGCATCTGGCTTAGTATCACCAGTATCATGTAGGGGGTTTGGACAAAAGGAGAGGAAAACCAGCAGTCAGAAATACCACGCGCCCCGCCGGTATGGGACTGTGACCCGGGTTGCGAGCTCCGAGAGAGGCGGCTGTTCTCTTGAGCGCAGACTGGACCCGAGCGGTTGTGACATTTCCGAGCCATGGCCGCTGCGATCGCGAGCGGGCTGATCAGACAGAAGAGGCAAGCGCGGGAGCAGCACTTGGACCGACCCTCCACAAACCGACGGAGGAAGAGCCCCAACAAGAACAAGGGGCTCTGCAATGGGAACCTGGTCGACATCTTCTCAAAAGTGCGCATCTTCGGGCTCAGGAAGCGAAGGCTACGGAGACAAGGTCTGGGAACTTCAGTGTGCCGAAGTAGCTATTTTGTTGCCGACACATAAGCGAAGATGCACTAATCAGTGTCCCTTAATTACTGTCTCAGAACGGCGATTGGAAGGTGAAAATGATATTATAAAGAGTACTTATTAAATTAATCTAAACTAAGAACTCCTTGTTTAAGTTGAATTCAAAACCATTGTAGTGGGAAAAAAATGTAGCACGTTTTTTCTTATTTTCTGTAAGTCTTAGGAAAACAAAAGAAGAGTTGGATGGTGAAAATCCCCAAATTATAATTATTCCTTTGACTGAAGACTGGAATAAAAGGAAGAGCGTCCACTTTTATTTATGAAGCTGCACCAATGGGTCAATCACAATCAGCCAATTTCCCCTCTTTGCTCTCTGATCAGTGATTAGAGGAATCAATAAGAATTTTTTCCTCTTCTTATTCAAAACTAACAAGTTTCACCATTTTCTAAACATGAGCCCATGTACTCTGTTGCACATCTTGAGTCTAACAATATTAATATCATTAATTATAAAACCTTGATTAGTTAAACTTATCAGGATTGTCTCCTCGTTACACAGGTGGAGATAATCTTGTGATTTTGTCATTTCCTGTTGCATTAACAATTTTCTTTATCTTTTGTAAGTGTTATATACTGAATCTGCCAGCCAGGCCTCTATAAACAGAACTAATATGTATGAGTTGGCAAAAGCCTGATTGGTGCATCTGTACATATCAGCTTTTTGCAGCGTGTGTAAATATGATCACACACATGTAGCTTTGGAAAAATTGTCCAGATATCTATATATCAATTCTGGTTTGTGATCAGCAGGTTAAATAGTGAAAACTTTGCTGCTGCTGTTGTTCTATTTCCTATTAGTTAAACACATTGAAATGCTAATTTGATATGTTTTCCACCAACTTTCTATATCACAGAGCATTCACAGCTGTTCTATTTCCTTTATTCGTCTCCTGTTTTGATTAAATCATAAAATGGACCAAACTTAAAAGTGACCAGTTTTCTTTCTAGTCTGTGAGCACAACAACCATTAGCGTTTACTTTATTGAACTTTTGTTTCTTTAAGGAACATAAAATGAAGTTTAACCAGATTGCTTAGTAGAAAATGTTAGCCTATCTGCTAACAGCTAAAGGTATGTTACATTTCATGCAGCATAAAACATTGTGAATTTGTGAAAATCAAAACCAGCAGGAAAACCTGAGAGAAGGTTAGAAATCTATATTGGCCAGGAAAAACATGATGTCTATTCATTTTATATTGTCGCAGTCAGTATAAATATGATTGGATCCACATTCCAAATCATCATAAAAAGACTGAAATTGATCAGTGTTTCGCTTGAGCAGTTCTGAACAGCATGGCTATTACTAAATATCCCTATTTATTAAATTCATTAACTGATGGCTTGGACATTAAAGCAGGTTAGTAAAATCATATAAAAACATTAATGCATGAATGTGTTTATAATACTTTCATTCTCTGTTGGATTCAAGACTACTGTGTTAACCGGAAACACAGTTTCTTCCTTTTTTTGTGCTATAAAATCTAATAGTTAAAGGATTTCAAAACTGGAGTTGGCAGAGCAAACTTCCAAGGAAATTGTCTCTGCCAGTAAAGACCTGATCGGTGCATTTTTACATTAACATGTTCAGGGATTTGATTTGGGAATCATTACTACCTCTGCAAAATGGTAACATTTTATCCTTTGTGTCTCAAAAGTTAGAACAAACATTTTTTTTGTAAATGTCAGCAGCTGGATAAAAAAAAAAAAAAAAAAAACATACATCTGATTTATGTGCATTCTATTAAATGACTTAGTTTTTCCAAACTCTCACAGCTGCAGATCTATAGGATGTCTTACCATTTTATGGAACATATACACAGAAACTCGTAGCTCTGCACACCAACAGTTTATTGCACAAAACTAATTTCCATACCAGTAAAGACGGGTCGGTATCTTGAGCAGAATCAGGGTCATGACTTTCAGACTCACACGTTTTCTCCATTTCGGGGACCAGCGGCCTCTCTCTCAGGCTGAAATTTGTTCCATTTCTCCAATTATGAAAATGTCAGGAATGTTTTAGCTGTAATGTGCCAGCCTGGGATTATTAAAGAGCACTGTCAATAATTATTTCAACACAGAAAATGGAGCCAACAGTGAGTATAATTCAGAGACGATACTTGGTTGCTTTAGGTTGATTGTCGGGTTTTGTAGGTTTAAAAAAAAAAAAAAAGTAATCAACAGGCATCAAACCTGTTGCTTCAAATCCACCTAAACTCCAGCTAATTTACAAGCTACTTAAAGCAGAGCCATCCAGGCAACAGCCTAGTTAAAGGAAGCTTAGAAGCGCCGTTTAGTCTTTCATCTTCTCCCACAGAAGAAGAGCCATTTTGATTGGTGTGTCCCTCTCATGCTGCCTGCTTTCACATCTGAACATCAGGATGAAATGTCTCCTTCTCTAGATCCAACTGATTAAATGGATTATATGCGCTTTGTTAGAACAGGATCCATTTAATGACCACAGAGGACACATCTGGACACAGGTCAGAGTTCACTGAAACTGGAGGTTTATAATCGGTCGTCCTTCAAGCTGCTGTGCCATGGGGCCCGTCTGTGTGTTTCTGCATGTGGTAATCGGCTGTTGCTCTTGACTTGGCCTGTGGAGCATCATTTGATATTTGGAGCACTGTGCAGAAGGTAGCAGAGGCCACAGATATGTACGATGGACCAACAAGTCTGTAGGGCAGATGTTCCTGTTTCAGGGTCCAAAACTAGTAAAAGAATATGTAATCAAAAGATTTAATTAAACGTATCATCAGTAAAATAAAATTGAAATCGGGGAATTGAAACCAACACAGCCTTAACCATCAAAGTCAGTGGATGAGTTCAAGTGAATGTCACTTGGCTGTGCCAACAGTGCCACAATGCAACAGAAGATGTGACCAATAAGTCCTCATTTGTACATGCCATTTGCTAACTGAAATGTTGAGCTTCTGTAGTGGTCCACCCTGATTTATTGTTATTATTTTTAAACATAAGAGTTAAGAAGCAATAAAATGCAGCAGCCTCTGAACACTAAAGCTTCTGTGATAAACTGAATCATTAAGTAAAAAAAAAAAAAGAAAAAAGGCTGCTCTCTAAAATTCACAGAATTAAGGGGGAAGCTGTGAAGAATGCATTTTTGTTCCCTTTTTTGTAGTTCCACTCAGAGCTAACACTCACTTTCTGTTGCTTTCATTTTATTCTTGTTTATGATTAAAAGCTAAATGGGAAAATACATCATTAATTTCATCCCCATATGAGAATTCACACTCATGGGACGTTTTTCCTTTTAAAGTCCTCTCCACACTTTCACTCCCTGTCCCATCTTTCCTCTTTTTTTGCATTATCACCAAAGCACACAGATTAGGAAGACTAATGACTTGCTTAGTGTGTCTAATTTAATATCAGACCCAGAGAGACCTGAGAGACCTTTTAAATTTGTTTTGCTGGCCCACGATGGCCGCATGCACTACCGATCCCATGTGTTTTGAGGCCGAGTTTCAGAGTTTCCCAGGTGAAAACAAAGAAAACACAGAGCCTCACAGTGACAGCGGAGCCGTGAAAAGAGCACCTTTCTGGCTTTCAGCAGGATGAATATAGACTGAAGTGAGGTTCAGAATCCCACTGAGATGTGTCAAGATGATGGAGCAAGGGTGCCTTATAAGAAGCCCTGTGTCCTGTATTTCTTTTGGCACCGAGTATTGATCTTGAGAATGCATCAGCACTGTAGATTTTCTCTTCTTGTGAGCTGCGTTGACTGCATCTGACATACTTTGGGGGCTTCAGGTCATTCAGTTGGCTTTAAACATATTCTACCAAATCTTCTCGATGAGTTGCTTTTGCTTTTGAATTACTGCCACTACAAAAAATGCCCAGGTGGAAAGAAGATGGTCTGTTATTCTAATGTGAATACGTTTTGCCTTGTTTGTTCACTCGAGGACACAGATGTGATCTTTGTCCTCTTCTGGCAACTCTGGGAATATGCTGGAACATTTTGCGTCACATCTGCCTTCGTTTCAAATCATCCTTGTGTTTTTGAAAAAGAGTTGCTGTTTTTTTTGTGTGTGTTTTTATTGTTTTTGTTTTTTTTTTTTTTTTTTCAAAGCATTAAATGCGAGCTATAAATCCTGTTATATCTAAAGCCAGTAAGTGAGCTCTTGCTTCGTCCAGCATTGGGTCATGATCTTACTACGCAGGATCTAATTATCCCACCAGATTAGATCCACGACCCATAAGATCATGCAGCGCAGATCCTAAGATCAGATTAGTTGGCGTGATCTGGAGGTCCTTCGAGGATGAATGGCTTCCTGCACCTTGGACGTTTGTTCATCAGGCTTCTTTAAAGGACACAAGGGGGCTGTCTGTTTAAATAGGATATCCAGGACATCTGACGTATATTGCTAGGAAACACAAAACGGATGGCAGTGCATCAGCTGTTTCCAGCTGATTTACAGTGAATATAAAATATTCATACTTGTTGAGCTTCATCCCAATTTGTCACACTGCCTCAAACTTCAAAGTATTTTGTTGTGGGCTTGTCTCAAATTAATTGTTGCATAATTAAAAACTGAAGTCTTGCCACATAGACTAAATTGCTTTAGTAACAGGACAAAAATATTACTAAGAACGGTGGTAGCTTCATGCTGTGGGGATGCTGTGCTTCAGATGCAGGGAAGCTGGTCAGAGTTTAACATAGGATCTTCTTCTTTTCCCCTTCGGAAAAGAACAAGCAAAAAATGTATTCTTTAGATCCGCAAAAATAATCGTGGCAAAAGCTTGTCCTACAAGGTTTTGACTCACGAAACATGAAAGCAAATTCACATTTGTATTTTCACTTCAAATATTGTAAGTAAAAACCTTTCCTCTTTAGAACTCTGCACTAAAAGTGTCGGTTCGTCATACACAAAAATGAGAAAATGTGAAAAGACTCAAGGGTAATGAATATGTT